ATGTCCCCCTGCCCCGCCACCCTACCTGCTGTCCCCGAGTAGTCGGCGATGGAGACGGGGTACCCGTCCTCCTCGGGATCGACAGAGAAGAGCCCCACGCTGAAGCTGCCGTAGTGGGCAAAGGCAGTGCCGTTGTCAAAGTCCTCCAGGTCGATGCGGAGCTCGTAGCTGCCCTGCACCGTCAGCACGTGGATCCGCTTCAGCCCTGCGGCGGAGGGAGGGGGTGAGTGCGGGGACCCCGGCAGGGATGGGGTGGCCAAGGGTCCCTGGGGAAGGGGTGCGGGGTGGGATGGGGAGCGGTTCCCACCCTCCAGCCCTCGCTCTGTTATTGCCGCACAGCCAAGGGCACGTGCTCAGCTCACGGACAAACAGCCCTATCGCTTCCCTGCCCCTGTGCAGCCACCCGGTCCCCTCCCCGCCTGCCCGGGCTGTCACTCCTAGGACTGAGTGCTGGCCAAGGGGGTCTCGGTGTCCTTTCCTTTGCAAAGGAAACCCCGGACCTCCCCAGGGGAGCTGGGGAGGCCCCCAAGCTTTACCAGCCCACCCAGGAGCGGGAACTGCCAGCCCCACGCACCTAACCAGTGCTCTCCCGTCAGCTTCCCAAAGCCATCCCTGTAGGCTTCCCAGCCACGGAAACAGTTCCCGGAGCCGTCCTCCCGCCGCTGAAACACCTGGGGAGGGAGACACGCGGGGGGTCAGTCGTGGGGCTGCTCCGAGCCTGCGCACCCCGAGCAGCCCCCCTGCTCCCCGCCGTGCTGCCCACCCCTCCCTGCCACCGTCTTATTAGACACGGGCACAAATTAAACCCTTTCAGCTCAGTAATTACACAGGGATGCTGACGAACAGGACCCCAGGGAAATGCCAGATCAGGCTCTCGGGGACGGGTGAGTCAGTTCAGATAAAACACTTCGCTGGATCCTGCGCCTGGCAATGGGAGCGGAGCTGGGGAAACCCGCGGTGTGTTCCTGCGGGAAGGTGGCCGGTGCCTCCGGGAGGGGTGGGCACCCTGCACCCGGCTCCAGGGTGCGCACGGGAAACAGCCTGGGCTCTGCCATTGCACGCAGGAGCGGAGGTATGGACGGATGGGCGGACGGACGGACGGCATGGCTCGAGGTCTGTCCCTGCAGCACGTGCTGCCCAGGTCAGCCCAAGCCATCCTGCAAATGGCGGGATGCTCCGTGCCGTGTAAAACTCCCGGGTCCCTGTTCTCTCCTGGGCAGCCGCCCCGTTATTCCTGTGACGACCTCGTTAGTCATCCCAGAGAAATTAACTGTGGGGCACCGACCACCCCGACTCCTGCAGAGCCCCCGGATCCCGGCCAGATCCCCGGGGCTCAGCGCGGCTTTTCTCCTTGGAGCCTTTCCCTTTTCCTCTCCCATCTGCTCATCGGCATGTCATGCCCTTTGTGTTTCATTCCCTTTCATCCATAGTTTCGGGTTTGATTTATTGATAATGATCCAGAAAATGCTACTCCGTGTCCGACCATTTGAACTTAATTAAGCCTCCAGCCCTGGATTAATTGCATTAAACTTGGCTGAGCCAGCCTGCCCGACTGCCACCGAGCATCACGCTCCCATGGCCGCGGTGGCAGGGATTGGGGCGCTCGGTGATTTAGGAACAGCCACCCCATGCGCCGGCAGCCAAGGGGCCAGAGCACCCTGTCTTCGGGGCTGGGCTGTGCCGCTGAGCCCATTCACCCCGATTCCAGCATCCCACACTCGGGCAATGCCGCTGAGCCCCCGCGCCGGCCGGGAACCCACCGTGCTTTGCTCCACCGCAGCCTCCCCCCGGCTGCTTCTGCCCTCCTGCCTGCGCAGGGTTTCATCCCAGCACGTGGAGGAGACCCAGCTCATGAACTTCTTGCCATTTTGCCCTTCACCAGATGAGCATTTTTGGGGCCGCAGGTGGCCAGTGCAGGCTCCGGCGCGCTCCTCGACACGGCATGGCTCTGATCCTGCTGTACTTACCTTCTAGAATTAGAGCCTTAATTTTTATCCCTGCATTGAGCACTTGAGAAGCTGCAGTTAAGCCCGTTTAAAGGGGCTTTCTTCAGGCTTGCCGGGAGAGGGGGATGGTGTGGCTGGATGGGGGCCCGAAGCTGATTTTCCCTGGCTGATGTCGGCTCCGGTGCTGCCGCACAGGGAAGGCGGCGGAGGCAGCACCGGTGGCCCCTTTTAATCGGCTTTGACCCACCG